AATTTCTCTTCACCCTGACCCTAATCCTAGGGATGTGGCCTTTTCAAAGTTGAGCATTTTAAACGTTATGCTACTGCTGTCTTACATGCGCATATCCTGGAGAGAGACAACACTGAGAAATCTCCAGAAACTTTATATATGATTTCTGAAAATATATGTGTTAATAACAAAACGTTATGCTACTGCTGTCTTACATGCGCATATCCTGGAGAGAGACAACACTGAGAAATCTCCAGAAACTTTATATATGATTTCTGAAAATATATGTGTTAATAACATTTTGTCCATGCAAATTTAACCTAGTAAAAGAAGCACCTCTCCTTATTTGACATTTCTTCCCATACGACTCATAACCTATCAAATCAATCTAAATGATTTGTACTTCCTTTCTTCTTTGCAAGGCCAAAGACAAATCCTTTACGACTTCCCAGAGTTTTAGGGGGGGGGGCGATGATATTTTTGCGGGGGATGAGATTTTGGAAAGGCAAAATCTTAAAAACTAGGAGGAGGACTGAATACTTGATTAGAGGACCATTGTTATGGAAAAACAATACTTAATATCTATGTAACCAAGGTGATAATAAAAAGATTTAAAAAGTGAATACAGGTGATAGAATGACTATTAAAAATAATACTCTTTGAAAATTGAGATTACTTGGTTCCCTGCATTTTGTCAAGTATTATTAATTAAATACCTTAGAAAGCAAAAAAACAACAAAAACCACTATATTCCCTGTGGGTTTTTTTTTTTAAAGAAAAGGTATTCCTAAGAAATCTAACCCAAACATTGAAAAACAATCCAACTTATGTAATTCAGGGAAAGCTTTGGCAAATAAGACTAGTTTAATATTATTGGTTCCATAAAAACAGCTATGTCTCTTGAACTATCAATGCTTATGTATATGAAGCGTGGCAAATGTGCTGGCTCAGGGGTGGAATTCTTGACTTCTGTGTAGGAGACCTGGGTTAGATTCCAACCCAATCAATGCACATACTGTGCGCGGCCACCAACCGCCTGTCTCTGTAGGCTTGCAAGTTGCTGTGATGTTGATCAGGTTTCAATGGAGTCTTCAGAGCCAGGCACACTAGGAAGAAAGGCTGGGTAATCTGCTTCTGAGAACCAGCCGTGACAACCCTGTGGACCACTGTGGTCTGATCTGCAACCAATCACGTGGGTGGCACAGCATTAGACTGCATTTCTTCTGTTGGACAAGAGACTGCCATAAGTCCAGAGTCAACTCAATGGCAGCTAATGAACAAACATTTTATATAAGCCCTTCTAAAAAAATAAACTCACTGCCATCCATACAGTTGATGCTGATTCATAGTCACCCTATAGGACAGGGTAGAATTGCCCGTTAGTTTTCGAGACTGTACTGTATATAGGAATAGAAAGCCCCATCTTTCTTTCTTGGAGCAGCTGGTGGTTTTGAACTGCTGACCTTTCAGATCACAGACCAACATGTTACTACTAAGCAACCACTTTAGACATTGAACCAGAGGATCATGGATCCTTTTCTCTCACTTTAGCAAGTGGACACCTCCCCAAGAATTGTCATTATCTTTGGGGATGGGAGAGAGAGTGGATAGGAAGATGAAGGCTAAGATTTTTTTACCAATTTGGGATGGCCATTGGGTCTTCTTTATAAAGGTGTCTTTATTTTTTTTAATCATTTTATCATACAACTCATCACAATCCATACATACATCAATTGTGTAAAGCACATTTGTACATTCATTGCCCTCATCATTCTCAAAACCTTTCCTCTCCACTTAAGCCCCCCGGCATTAGGTCCTCATTTTTCCCCTCCCTCCCCGCTACCCCACCTCCCTCGTGAGCCCTTGATAGTTTATAAATTATTATTTTGTCATATCTTATCCAGTCCGATGTCTCCCCTCACCCACTTTTCTGTTGTCCGTCCCCCAGAGAGGAGGTCACATATAGATCCTTGTAATCGGTTCCCTCTTTCCAGCCCACCCTCCCTCAACCCTCCCAGTATCGCCGCTCACACCACTGGTCCCGCAGGGATCGGCCGCCCTGGGTTCATAAGGGTGTTGTTTAACTTCTGTGTAGGGTTCCTCAACCGTTGTTAAGTGCCATTGAGTTGGTTCCAACTCACAGCAACCCTGTAGGACGGAGTAAACTGTGGGTTTCTGAAGCTATAAATCTTGATGGGAGTAGAAAGTCTCATTTTTCTCTGGGCCGCAGTGTGGCTGTGAAGTTGAAACTGCTAACCATATGCATGGCAGCCCAAAGCATAACCCAGTATGCCATCGGGGCTCCTGGTGGCACAGTAGCGTCATAAATAGGATATTGGATCTGGAGATTACCTGGGTTCAGATGGTGACCACCATTTGCTGTGTGATGTTGGGCAAGTAATTCAATTTCTCTTGGCCTTAGTTCTTTTAAAGGCAGAATAAAATAGAAGTCACAATATTATCACCTGACATAGATATGAAGATTAAGTAAGAAAATATACACAAGAGTATATAGAAAATATTAAATAACGAAGTTACAGTGAGTCTAAAACCATAAACCATTGAAAGAAATTTGAAAGAAAAAAATGTTTTTCAGAGGAGTAACATTGGAGGATATTTCATACACTTCCCAAAATTTATACTTTAGCAAACTCATCTTTATTTGACTATCAATTTGTGTTTGAATTTCTACTAAACTTTTTGTTTGCTGCAAATGAAAATTACCCCATAAATTTTCAGTGGATGTTTTTCGGTAAGACTTTGGATACCATTACGATGGTAAAAGATATAGAAATTTAGAATTATAAGGTGGTTAAAGAAAGTGAGACAGGAAAGAGGAGGAGGCAGCTTGCCAATTAATATATGTATATTATTATGGGCAAATTGACTTCTCTGAGCTTGCTATTGAATATAAGTATGAACACCTGCAAGTTTGCATGCTGGGCTCATGCTTATGAAATGTAATGCATTTACATGGCCCATGTAATCTAAATGAGGCAGACTTGAGCGGAGTTTCACAAAATCAGACGGGGAATTATTATGAGTGGGAAATTTCTCAGGTGGCATCATTAGCCAAAGCTGAAACCAACAAGACAAAACAATCGGTCGCTCTCTTGTCGATTCTCACTCCTGGCAGCCGGGTCTCACGCAGGGCCATCGCGCTGGCAACAGGGACATTTCAAGGTGTAGACATAGACGGGGCCCTTTTGCACATCAAGAAAAATAACTTTCTGTTGAAAATAGAAACTACATTATTTCCCCCCTGTGTGGCAGAATAACTTTTCTTCATATATCTGCATTTTCTCTGCACTTTAGCTCGTTGTAATCCCAGGGAGTTGCTCCTTAAAAACGGCGAAGGATTTCTTTTTTTTTTCTTTTTAAGAAAAAGAAACAAAACAGTGTTAAAGAATGACTCAGTCTCGAAATCGATTATAGCCAACTGTTGGTTTACTTTTTTTATAAGCAAGATAAACTGATATATTGATTTCCTTCCCACAACGGCAACGCTTAATAAGGGGATGAGGGCAGAGAGAGATACGTGTAGTTGGGGAAGTGTGAATCTTGTTTGCACATTTTTAATAGGATAATTGATTAGCTGGCAGCTGAGCAGGTCAATTTGGATACTATGTCTTTGTGCAGACCTCAGAGGTATAACAAAAACTCAGTTGTCTCTGACTTCTCCTGAAAACCCTTGTGAGCTAAGCTGCGAAGCTGTGACAGGTACTTTCTCTGTAATGTCTGCCATTTCCCTGCTATCAGCACCTCACCCTCCGCTAGGACCATTTCTGTCTTACTTTTTTTATCAGAAGTCTCATTATACAAGTCTTCTCTCTAAATCCTTACTTACTGCTTCCTGTTCGGAGCCCTTATTCGAAAGTGATTAAAATCTGAGGTGCTCCTGAGAGCGTTTACAGTAAAAGTTACAATCCTAGTTTTTTCTCCAGTATGAATCTAAGATAGTAAACATCAGTACACAAGATCTAAGCTTCCCTTTGGCGGTCTTCTATTTTTCTAAAGCTAAGGGTTCACACCAGTATTCTCCCATCACAGCAATCACATCCCAACAAACGAACACACAGCGGATGTAGTGACATCACTCTCTGAATGAATTTGAGGAGCTAACAGACTGAAAGATAATAGCTAAAATATCTTTTCATAAGCAAATATTTCAAGAGATTCTCAATATCTTAGGGGACTACAAACAATTGATGATTGCATTTTTTATTAATGGTAGTGAATTACTACAGCAGCAAATTTTGGCATAATTTGCTGGTTTTGTGCCCACAAGCATTATGCAGCAGGAATTCCTTTTATATTAAGAGTATAACCTGAGGATACACAATATGTGATATAGATCATTTTAAAGGGTAAAATGTTCCTAAATGATATTTATTTCAGTAAGAAAGGCAAAATTTGTCTGTGTACGGGGGCGTTGAAAGGAAAGATAACTAGAGGTACAGCAAAAACGCAATTGTCTGAATTCTCCAGAAAACCTCTAAAAAAACGAAAATGCAACCTTTTGCAACGCATGCTAACTAAACAAGGAAACATCATCTAATTTAGTGGTTCTCAACTTTCCTAATGCCGTGACCCTTTAATACATTTCCTCATGTTGTGATGATCCCCCAACCATAAAATTATCTTCGTTGCTACTTCATAACTGTCATTTTGCTACTGTTATGAATCATAATGTAAATATCTGCTATGCAGGATGTATTAAGCGACCCCTGTGAAAGGGCCGTTCCACCCCCGCCAAAGGGGTCGCGACGCACAGGTTGAGAACCGCTGATAATTGCTTTAAATAGACATTGGCTTAAAAGGACATAAACGTTAAAATCGATGAGCCTGGCTTAAGGAATGCCTTTATCTTGTCATAATGAGTAGTGTTACCGTATTTCACTCCGCAACGCTCCACTCTTAAAAATCGAGGTCAGCGCGTCTCGATTCTTTGGCGAGAGCCAGGACTCTGTACAAAGGGGGAAGGCGTCCGAGTTGCGGGATCCACTTGACTCAACATAAGCCTGGATGTTTGCCTTAAGTTCGAATCCTAGACATCGCCATCGGGCCGCTTCTCATCTGCGGGCTTGGGGCCTACCTCCATTGTGTGGATCCGATCTTTTTTTTTCTTGCCAGATTGCACACATCTACCTTGTATACCGAGACCGCGGCACACGCTAGGATGACAAACGCGGTGGCGGAGGAGGAGGAACAAGGCAAGTTCTCGCGCGGTTATGAGATGCGGCAGCTCTGACGTCACCCGTTGCCATGGAAGCATCAGCCAAAGAAGAAAAGACCGGTGGTGTGAGGGGCTCATTGGTGACTAGCGCAGCTTCCAAGAGGACAAGGACACAGGACGCTCCGCTGTCGCTGACCTGACCGCTACCAAGATGAGTGGCCTGGATGGGGGCAATAAGCACCCGTGCGATCTCGCTGCTACCCCTGACGATGCCGCGGGCAACCCCGACCCGCAACACCGCCAGACGGTCCAAAGTGATGCCGATGTGACACAGGTGACGGCAGACATGGCTGGAGTCACCTTGGGGATGATTGCAGATTCGATCGACTGTGGCTTCGCGCTCCGCTTTCGCCTTCCTCTTACCTGCAGCCAGGGTGCGACCAAAGGTGTGCAAGATAAAGCACCATCTCCCTCGGGATGCCCGAAAACGGCTTCTGCCCCCGCTGCGTCCGACCGCAGTCCTAAAAGGGGTTCTCTTGGTGGCGGTCTGCGCAGCCCGGCAGGGGAGAAGGCCCCCGCAGCCTGTGGCGCAGTGGGGTTGGGGTCTCCGATGATGGCTGGAGCCAAGGCTAAGGAAATGACGAATAAAAAGGGCGCCACCTCCGAGGCCACGGAGAAGAAAGAGGTAGATGGGGTGGTGGAGGGAAAGAAGGTGACCCCGAAGGCAAGAAAGGCAGGAGGGGAGATGAAGGAGGAGAAAGGGGCCAGCGCCCTGAACGCCAATAACGGCGTGGAGTGCCTGGAGGCCATTGATCAGGAGCTGTCCAACGTGAACGCTCAGGCTGACCGAGCCTTCCATCAGCTGGAGCGTAAGTTTGGCAGGATGCGAAGGCTCCACATGCAGCGCCGGAGCTTCATCATCCAGAACATCCCATCCTTCTGGGTTACTGCCTTTCGGAACCACCCCCAGCTAACTATGATGATCAGCGGCCAAGACGAAGACATGATGAAGTTCCTGATCAATTTGGAGGTGGAAGAGCTTAAACAGCCCAGAACCGGCTGCAAATTCAAGTTCATCTTTCAGGGCAACCCCTACTTCCGAAATGAGGCCCTTGTCAAGGAGTATGAGCGCAGATCCTCGGGCCGGGTCGTGTGTCTTGCCACTCCTGTCAGATGGCACCGAATGGATGAGCCCCAATCCCACATCCACAGGAACCGGGAAGGAAACACCATCCACAGCTTCTTCACCTGGTTCTCCGACAACAGCCTCCAAGAGTTAGACAAGATTGCTGAAATTATCAAAGAGGACCTGTGGCCCAATCCCCTGCAATACTACCTGATGGGGGAAGCGGCCCGCCGAGGAATGCAGGGCCCAGAGAGGCAGCCACCTGAGAATCCCCAGTCCTTCAGATTCCAGTCCGGCTAAATCCTGTCCTTGTGAGAAGCTCTTTGACAAGTCTCCTTACCTTTGCCTAGCCAACCGCATGCCATCTTGTCAGCTTTCTCTTCCTTGTGCGCTGTCCGATGGTTCTTCAGAACCTTCAAGAGTCGACTGCAGGACTGTCACCACTGTGTCTAGACTCTTTCACTGCTCTCAGCCTTCCCTGCTTTTCTGCATCGTGCTATGTGGTCTCCACCACTCAGTGCCAAGTCCATGATGCTGTAGATATACACTGCCGCCCTCTGCCTGGCTTGAACCCTGTGACTGACTGCCGTTTTCTCCTAGTTGGTGAGTGTGGTTATCAAGCAGAAAGTGTGATAGGTTTTTGCCAGCATCTCATCGGACTTCATGCCTTATGCTAACTGTGCACCTGCCACTCATACTCTTCAAGAAGCTCTTGCAGGTCACGACTGCAAGAAGCTAGTAGAAATGATGCCAGCCATCGACTGGACTGAAATGGGACATTCCATGCCTCCATCATCTGTTGCCTCCCTTGGCTCATGCCATCTACTCTGCTGCTTAACTGGCGGCGGCCAGGCATGAATGAGGTAAAAGACAAGAAGTGTTCTGTGATATCATATTGGTTATCCTGTGCCTCATGAGGTCACTGCATCGTGACCAGTTACTGGTGAGTCTATGAGGGCCTGTGCTATGGCCTCCCCTGACCTGCTCTTACCCTCTGGGTAAGCTTTGGCCAGGCCACCACGTTCTGCCTCCTCAGTACAGTCTGTAGTCTCAGACTCCCAGGCAGTACACAGGAGCCCCTCCTCCCCAATCCCCCTCTTTCTCTTTAATCTTAATTAATGCGTCATATACCTACTCTGCCATTAGGGCAAGCCAGGTAGTCGTATGTGACAAGGTGAAGCAAGGAGGGGGTGGGGTCCCTTCCAGCAGCCTGGCTTTCTGAGCCCCTGGTAAAGAACCACCCCTTCTCCCCTCCTGAACTTATTCTGAACACGACACAGGGTACCAGGATGGGTAGGATACCACTAAGAGAGGGATTTCCGGCCTGTGGGGCCTGTTAGGCTACTCCTTTTCTCTATCTAAAGCAGCTACAGCTCAGAAACAGAAAACAAAACTGATTTGTTCTCCCTTGATTGTGTCCAGAGGGAGAAAGGTACTATAAAAATAGGCTTTAGCTCTTACTACCCTCATCCCTCAACCCCCCTCACCCCCATCCCCAACCCTTGTACCCCTTTCCTTTAGCCAAGGCCTGAGAGTTCCAAAGGGAGACCTAGAGGTTAATTGCTGTTATGCGCAGTGTTCTTTTAGGCTACCTTTGACAACCCCACCCCTTTCCTTTATCCATGATGCCAAAATCTTCTGTGTGTTTCTTGAGCTTTCGTTTAAGAAACCTGGAAAGAAAGAACAGATTCAGAGCAAGGTGTGATTTAAGGCAAACAAAGCTAGCTTCACTCCATTTTCCTAAAGAAGAGGGACATTTTTCCTGGGCCTTGGGCTACTTAAAGGTATAAACCTCCACTCCAGGGCAATGTTGTGTTCTCTAAGCTCTGAAACAATACGAGCCCAGAAGCAGAATGCTGCCTGCAGGGGCGAAGGCTTAGAAAGCCTGCAGGGCCAGTGGGGGAGGGAAGGCCCCTGGGGCTGTTGCCCTAATGGGATGGGTGGGAGAATCTAAGGAGTTAGGGTGGAATAGGGTGCTTGGAAAAGGGTTTATTCCAATGTACCCTAACTTCTTGGACCCACTAGTCGGTTTTTGTAAATAAAAATGCAAGTCTTGATGTTTTCTTTATTCTAGGAATTCGTTTTTATATGTGGTAGATTAGTAATAAACACTCTTTATGTCACTGTTTTTGAGTAAAGTCCTATTCATTCTTTACTCCATTTCTGTGCCGTGGGAAAATTGAAGTTTACAGACCTGCTTTTTGCTTGAAGTTGAGAATGTTTGCAAAAATACCAGTTTTGTTTTCCCTTGCAGTACGAAGACTTGTGTGACTCTTCACTTACTTATCTGCTTCTTTTGGTCTCTGTTTAACTATAGCTCTAATCTTAGAAATGTAACTCAGATAATGTGATCCTTGTAGACCCTGAAGAGTTTGGAAATTGTTGCTCTGTCTCGTAATTGTAATCTCAAGAAGAAATCATTGTTGTCTTACTTGATAATTTTTTGCCCAAGTAATAATATTGTACTCAATATGTTCCTAACCAGTATAAGTACTTGTGAAATTACTGTCACATTATGAAATTTGTTAGTATTTTTGTCTTCTCCCATGTACTTGAAGGAAAATAAAGTTTGTCACTCTGTTACATTTATTTTCATCAAAAATAAAAGTGAAAATTAAAATTGCCTGCTTTGTCTCAGTTATAAAATGTGGGAAAAACATTAAAGTCCACAAATGATCACAGGAAGCATTGTTCTGAAGTTTTAAAAAAAAAAGGGAAGAACCACAACACCCTCTTAATGATTTTTTTTTCTTCCTAACCCTAACCCACTTTCTTAATTATTTTGCTTAAAAGTTATGGGTCCAAATGTAATTATATAATCATGAACACAATATTTACTATATAACCAGTGTGGGTTTTGGGTGGTAATTGAAGCCCCCTTGTATTGATTTTATCATTTTAAATACTATTTTCAGAGGAAAACTCTTTCATTCCCAGTTTACGAGTTTATATTAACCCTGTTCCTGTTGCTCTCATTTTCTTCTTTTTATGTGAATGCTACTACTCAAATTATTTTCCTACCACAGTTTTTCAAATGAAAGAATAACAAGCAAACAAAAGCAGGCCCCCGGAGGGTAGCATCTAAATATAATGTCTATAGACAAAGGGTCCTATAATTTTAGTTACCAGTAATGATAATTTTACTCTTCATTAGCTATTACATGAAGGTTTGGAGATAAACATTTCTGCATCTACAGTCTCTGCAAAAGAGAGGCCTATGGATGCTGTAATATATATAAAAGTGACCAAGCATTTTTTTGCCATCTAAACAAATTAAACATAAAAAGTCCAAAGCTACTGGTCTGAAATAGAGGTTCACAAGTAAGTATGAGAGGGTACTTTCAAAAGTTTGTGGAATTTTTAAAATCTACTTTTCCATGAACTTTTTGAAAGCCCCTAGTAAAGCCACACAAAATGTGCTGATACTTGGTGTAAATCTTTTTGCAAATTCTACTTGCTATGGTTTAATTTCTAGAATGGGAGAGCACTAGTGCTATAATGAGTTAACCCATGGGACTATTAACCAGAAAGTCAGGGGTTCAAACCCACCAGCAACTGGATAGGAGAAAAGAAGGCTGTTTGCCTCCAGGAAGACGGACCGTCTCAGGACGCTAAGGAGCCGTTCTCCTCGGTCCCCTAGGTCACTGGGAGTCAGAATCACCTCCGTTGGCAGCGAGCGTGGGAAAGCTGTAGATAGAGAACGAGATGCTGTGTTTCCTTTGTAAAGGACACCTCTACCTGAACCCTAGATTTCACCTCCTGTGTTCATTTAGCTATCTCAGTTCAGTGATTGATTTCTAAATTGGCAGTCACCACTGGCCCTTTTCTAAACTTCTCTGCAGAAAATGCCACTCTATTGTTGCTCTGGAATTATTTTTCCTCAGCCTTGATCCAACTAAGAATATTTGTTCTAATAGCGTGGTGGCATTTTCATTTGTCACAGGAACATGGCTACTGTTCTGTTTGGTCTAGTAAATGAGTCATTACATTAGACTCATTTAAGCACTCCACGGGATTCATTTACCAACCAATTCTTTCCCTCCTAGAGCCTGCTTTCCAAGCCTGCAATCCCTTTTGTTCATTCCCCGTTAATCATTTTTCAGATCTCCAAACTCAGGAGGTTCTTCTGTCCTCTGAAAAGAGGCATTACTATTTTGGTCTGCAGAGGCCCTATTGCCCTGTGAATAGCAGTGGCGCATTTCTTAATAATTGGTCTGGTCTGCTCTCAAAAGGATTTCCTTGGGCTTCCTTTTCGAAGCCTGAGCATCCCGTCTGGCTCGACAACTACAAAGCTCCTCTGAGCCCCCTTGCAGACCCTGCGCCCTGACCTCAGCTTAACCCTGCTCCTTCTGCTTCGGCAGCAGCTTCATCTCCAGTTCATTCAAACAAGCTTCCCGAAATGAAAAATTTTATAATTTCAAACAAGACATTTACCTATCTTTTTAATCACTACAGTTCTCACACCACGGAGTCACATTTCAAGCCCAGATATCAGATTTTGTTTCAGGTACACATTCCTTGGCTCTGCAACCACCTCAGCAGAGCCCAGACAGGCCAGGCACATGCACCTGTGCTCGCATGTTACCTTTGTAATTTGATGACTCTTTTAATTTGTCCATTTCAATAGCTCAGACAGTAGAGGCTTTGGCAGTTGAATTGCCAAAGGTGAAAGCCACATAGACTTAATTAAATTTTCTGATCTCAAACAAGAGCAACTTTTCTAATTATGTTACAACCCTTTGTACTAACTTTGGCATTAAGAAAAACACCCCTATTTACACAGGTGTGTCCAAGCACTGGTGGCAGTGTCAGATCAGTCCTGGTTCCCTGTTAATGCAGGCTTGGTCCTTCAATCCCATCAGCAATTCTGGGGGGCACGTTTGCGGCTCTCTGCCCCCATAAAGATTCACAGCCTTGGAAACCATATTTAGCATCAACGTGATGAGTCAGGATCAACATGACGTCAGTGAGCGTCCCTTACATTGGTCTGATCCACACCCCAGGGTGGGGGTGACACAGCTCTGGGAACCTTCTGTTCTGTTGTGCATGGGGTTGCCTTGAATTCGGGGCCCATGTGACTGATGCTCACAACAGCTTTCAAATCTCATACTTCCCTGGGTGGTGTAAACAAAACATTTAGCAGGTTCTGCTGCTAACCAAAGAGCTGGGGGTTCGAACCCACTCAGAGAAAGGCCTCGCAATCTGTTTCCAAAATACGCAGTTTTGGAAACTGGGAAGCACAGTTCTACTCTGACGCCCATGGGGTGCCAGCCACAAGTCACCCTCTGTTTGGTGTCAACTACTTTTTAAATCGCAAACCTCTGATCTTGTTTGAGGTGCACACTCCTGGTCTGCAAAATCTGTCCACTAGAGTAGATAGTTCAGACAGAACAGGGTATTTTTAACCCCAAGTAGCCTGTGAAAGAGGTGCTTATTATCACTTAGTTTAATGAATGAGTTCCAATTGGTACACTTACCAATTAAAACAGTTGATTCGAGATGCCATCTACCAGGCATTTAAGACAGTAATTTATTCCTTCTCTTTATTAAACTTCATTAAACATTAACCTTCAAGAAAATGCAAAGGCCACAAATACTTCGAAAAAAGTATAAAGTAGTGTTTCTTTCAAATTTAACTTTTAAAAACTTTATTGTGATTTGGTTGAAGGTTGTTCTTTGTTTGTTTGTTTGTCCTTGGGTAAATGTTGTCCTTTGGATCTTAAATGCTTGACGATTCTAACAGGGCGAGTTCCGTTCCAGACCTGAAGAGTGGCTCGGGGCCCCAGTCTTGGGTGTCCTTAGCCGATGATCAACTTCTGTTCTGTTGCCCGTTCTTCCCGACTCGCTCCAGGACCTCCTGCAGTGACCCTTCTCAGAACAGTGGGTGCCATCTAGCTCTGTGTTCTCTGGGTTGTGGAGACTAATGTGTGCAAGGTCCATTAGTCTATTGGACTAATTGTTTCCACGCGCCCTTTGATTTTCATCGCATTTTTTTCTGGAAGATCAGACAGACCAATAGTTGAAACTTAGATGGCTGATCACCAGTTTTAAAAACCAAAGTAGCACTAGAACGTTGTCATTGTGAACTATGTTGCACCATCTGACCTTGTTGTCCTGTGGTCCTCAACCCTGAAGCCTAGCAACTCATTCTTTCGAGGTGTTTGCCTCTGTCTAAGAAGGTTTCATAACTTGGTCCCCCATATTCTTCACTGCAATCATGGATATATGTGCAGCAAAGGTCAATACACCCACAAATGTCCTCTGTCAAATCTATAGCTATTCTTCGTTATACTCCCTCCTACTTTCCCTTTCATGCGTTTTCAGTTGGTGTGCCTATCCAACACTACACACAGATGGCTCCGACTTCAGGATTGTGTATACACTGGCGCCTGGCGCGGGGAAACGGAGTGTCAAGCATGGTGCTGCCGCAGTTGTCACTTTAAATTAAAAGCCAACTTCTCTGTCTGCCCATAAACTTCCATCTCTCGGTGGGTTTACTCAGTGTCCAGTGTTCACCACTCTTTCTCCATTTTGGTTTTCTCTGCAGCGGTGCCAGAGGTTTGGTACATTCTCAAGATGACAGTCTGAACCTGATACGAGAAGCAGCAGACCTGTTTATGGACAACTTTATCTTGTATGGCCTCTAAACAGAGCAGTGTACATAAAAGACTCCCATGATCCTTAAATATTTGCTTTGCTTCTCCAGAGAAGTGTGAACGATATGTAGGGGCATGTCAAAAAGCATGGATAATAGGGTTCCACTTCATGCACGCAATGATTTATTCTAAACAAAATGTGTTTAAACAGGTTTATGAGTTCAGCTGATGACTGCAGACACGATCTTTCAGAAATACAACTGCCTTTTCTATGTCAGGATTTTCGACTCGGGCCACACACCTCAAAGGGCCACACTCCTCTGACCACCTTGCAGACCCTTCGCCCTGCCTCCAGCCCTACCCTGCTCCTTCCCCGGGTGCAACAGCCCAGTTTCCAGTGGATTCAATCAAGCAAGCTTCCGGAGGTGAAATTTTATCATTTCAAACATGAAGACTCACCTATATGCATAATCATTGCATCCTCATCCCACGGAGTCACATTTCAAGCCTGGGATATCTGATTTTGTTTCAGGCACACATTTTTGAGCTCCACAATCTTCTCAACAGGGTCTAGACAGGTCAGGCAGTTGCACCTGGGCTCTCATTTTACTTTTGTAATTTGATGACACTGTTTTGCTTTGTCCGTTTCAATAGTTCAGACAAGAGAGGCTTAGACAACTGAATTTCCCAAGCCACAAAGACGTAATGAAATTTTCTGATTTCAATCAAGGATACCTTTTTTAATTATGTCTCAACCATCTGAACTAAATTTGGCATAAAAACATGACACCTCTATTTACACAAGGGTTTTCAGGCCCTGGTGATGCTATTGGGTAAGCATCAGACAGGTATGCTAACCCAAGATTGGCAATTCAAAGCCATCAGCGGCTCTGATTCAGAACATTGAGGCAATATAGGGTCATTCTGAATAGAAATAAACTCCATGGTTGTGGGTTTGGCTTCGGTGCTTTTATTCACATCCAATAGTTCACATTAAGTTGTCCTGGTAGCACTAAGGGGTAAGTAT